GGGGGGGGGGGGGGGGGGGGACGAAACAGAATGGAATAGGCGCAGGTCGGAGTCTTCCGGGCGCGACTCTAATCATCCAGTGGGGTCACGTAGCTACGACCCGAAGACGTATATATACAGGGTAAGGCGGCGGGTCGGGCGAAGCGAGGCAAGGCGATACTTACGGAATCCCCGTTGAGCTTCCACGTAACGGTGGAGGCGGGCCGGGAGTTGCCCGAGGTGCAGTTCACTCGCAGCGTCTCGCCCACCGCTATGCGCTCCTTCTCCGTACGAATCGTAGGATCCGTTTTTGGGGCGTCTAAGGCATAATAATTATGTCGTTTAGCACATGCGACTGCTGCCGCGGCACTAACTCGACATCTGGCGACATGCCAGCGGCGCCGAGGGTGTCACGGAGCGCGTACACCGGCAACACTTGAGCAACGACGAGCCCGTCGTCATGGCCCGATACCACGACGGCGATGGCTAGTGTTTCCAGCTGATCCCTCGGACACCGCTGTGCATTTCGTTTAACAATTTGTAATCTGTGTCACGATATACCGTTGCAGCTCGCGCGTGTACCCGGTGTGTGTGTGTGCGCGCGGCCATGTACGCGTTATTTGATGCACGAGTTTCCTGGCCGATCGCGAAGAACCAGCTGCGCTGGTCTCCCAGAGAAACTCCGCTTCGTCTCATCGCTGCACTCTCGTACGTACAATGCATCGAGAAATAACACGTGCTCCTTGAGAACCGGCGATTTTTCAAGAAGATCGCGCTGAAGCGCCTTTGTCACCCGTGATCCGCGATCGAATGCGAAATCGCACGCCACGTACGGACGCACACATACACGCCCACATGGGAACGTAACGACGCGGACCGCTCGGAGCGAAATCGTGGATCCGGTTTGTCCGCTGGAAATCGACGAAGTATCTTATCGGAGCGTTACGGGCTACATCGATTCCGCCTAAACCCGGTATCAGGGCCGGGATCGTTGATCCCCCATACGTACTTACGAAATGTATCACCGCTTCGGAATCGAACAGCAAAACAAACGGGCGGCGTTCGCGCGCTTCCGAACAATCCCGACGCGAAATGTGCGTTCTCGAAATCGCGGCGAAGAGGAAAAAGGGCGGGGGGGAAGGAAGAGAAACGCGCTTTTAATACGTAACGATCGACGCGCACTTACCGACTACTTCCATCATGGCCTTCTCGATCATGGTGTGATAGGAAGGGCTGCTGGCGGATACTTCGCACTTGTACCATCCGGTCAGGTTCCTGGACACGTCCACCAATGTCACGTCGTGCGTATTCGATTTGGAGATCTGTAAAACGCGAAGCTCGATGTACCGTGCTCCAACCGGCGTCCCCGGTGCTCCCCTACCCTTCTTATTCCCTACAAGAAGGTAGCTTATACGATCCACGCGCGCCCTTTTCTCCCGCGACCGGCCAGACCGGGCTTTTTACGACAGTACAGCTAGCTTACGCTAAAGTTTCGCCATTTTTCACGGTGGTTCGCGTCGATAGTCAAGGAACGCTTCCATAATCGCGATCTTTCGACCATCCGCGCTCGCGAGTGTTTTTCACGCCGATAACTCGTCGGCATGAAATTATTCTCACGTGATATCTCTCTCTCTCTCTCTCTCCGCGCGGCGGTTCTTGCGCGATATTTCAGCGAGCGTCTACAAAATTCTCGCGTTTTCCGGGCCCTTCCCCGCCGTGCCTCAATTAAACTTTAACACTCTGTAATCTCGAGTCGAGGGAGGAAGTTCGGCGGAAGATGCGAATGGGGGATGCCGGGGATTATTCATTACGAATGGCTCACCGTTCCCTAAGTGGTTAACGTTCGTTCTTTTATTCCTTACGCTCCCTCCGTAATGACGAAATAATTAGACGACGGGAAAGGGGCGGCACAGTCCCGCGCGAAACGGTTATCAGCGGTGCTTGTACTTAGTTATCCCGTCGCATCGACTATCGGGATGAGAGGGGACGATAATAAGTATCGATCGCGCGTTCCGGCAACTTCGCTAAAAGCATGGATCTCAGTGGGAACTGTCACTGAAGTAACGCCGAAGATTCCTTTCAAAACGACGTTCCTCCAAGTGCTTTTACAGGCGCTTGAAGAGCGGGGAAGCATCCCGCCCCCTCGACGGTGTCAGATATAGGTTACCCCGTGTGCACGCGCGCGCGAGTAAGGATTTTTTTACTGACACATCTTTGTAGGAAGCGTTTTAGCTGTCTCTTAGGCGCCGGAGAAGAACAAAGGAGAAAAGTTTCCGTTTCTTGCGACATCGATGAAAGTGACGTCGAATTCGAGACGTACGTACGTGCGACTGGTACGTCAAAAAATAAGTCGTCATCGTGCCTCGACTTTGCGTGCGACGTTGCGGAAAAATATGCACGTTCCTCGCGAGAACTTCGAACAGCGAGAAACGATGGGGAATTTTTTGTCTCCTCGGGTGCCCTTATACCGGAATAAAAAGTTGCGCGATGTAAAGATAAAGAGACGGTTTCTTGCGAAAAGCAACATTGAATTGTGTCGCAGTAACTTGGCGCCGCGTGTGAGAGGGTGACTTACGATACGAAAGGCACCGAGTAATAAAACTGATGTAACGATAGAATGACGCATCGATAAGTCAACATTAACGACAGTATTGTCAGCGTTCGCGTGCGAATCGTATTGGGTACAATCCCGCGTCGTTAACCGCGATAAGCGGATTTGTTTACGGGCGATGTCACCTGAACGGATCGTTTTCCGAAATATTTCGATGTTTGCGCGGCCTATGATCGCGATCCTCTTCTTCACTCGATCCCTCTGCGCGCCGGATCCTTCTGATATTAAGCGCAGCTAATACCGCTTTGCATTCTGCACCGCTATCGATCCCACAACCGAACCCTTCTTCCACGTTCAAATCTGGATTCTACTACCGCGCGCACTCCGTTTCTTTTTGTGGCCTCGCGCGCTCCTTTCCTCTTCGCGGGCATTTATATTCATCACGGCGAGCGTCTCCGCCTCCTTTACAAACTATATCGGATGAGGGGACAAGTCTTTTTCATCGTTTCTTCCGCTTCTGGCATCGGCGTGGACGAGACGCTCGATGAAAAATATCATTGAAAGGAGTTGTGCGCAGCGACTATTCGAATCTGTCGGGGCGGAAACTGCGGTGGAGCCACGCGTTGCCTCCTTTTATGAAAAGTGTGAGCGTGTATCCTATTTTTCAGCATGTCCTATATTCCTGATTAAATGAGGCCATACAGGCGAGTAGACGTGTAATGTACGTGTGTCGATGCGGCGCACATCGAAAGTCCACGACGGCTCAGAGACGCGTCGTTGAAATTTCGAGCACCGCTCTGATGTCCGATTTTATACCCACGCGTCGCAATCTTTACATTGAGAAAAAGTGCTACCGTTCAAGTAATATTTACTTGTTCCAAGTAAAGTAGTTACTCCAATATTCTTTGGCAAATATTTATTAAAAGTGAAAACACAATTGAGTAAATACAATATGGTATTTCTTTCGTACAAGTAGACATTTATTTATATGTGTTAAAACGACTGTGACAAATATTAAATTCGTAATATTGAGAATATCAGAATTTATTTTTAGAAAATATTTGCAGGATAGAAAAATCTAAATTTTAAAAACCACTGTGTTTCTTCGACGGAAAAGAAGTATTACGTATTTCTAGTAAATATTCTTTTAAATTTATAACCATTTTCCACTCTTACATTAAATTATTTATTTATAAACAAAATTAAATTATTATTGCGTTCAAGTAAGTATTTATCGCAAACTATTAAGTTATACATAAATTAATAAAAATGATACGTGATTCAAAAGTTTGAAAAGGAATTGCGTTTACTTGATTCTAGCGCTTTTCTTTTTGCGCACGTAGATTTTCCATGCGCAAAGGAATCGTGAAATCGAACTATCGGGCATACAGTTCTGAATGCGCGTTGCATCAGAAAGCTCCATATGCAGACATAAAGAAGGATGAGGATTAACGCGTCCTGAGATATCCTTCGACATCGTTCCGACGGTTTTTCCGAAGTGTCATCGGTGAATACGGGCACTTTGGCATTGTTGATAGATAAATTCACCCAATGTGGCGATTTCCAATGCGACGACGACAACTCTCGTCGCGTACGATGTCTCTTTCGTTCGGAAAAAGCCGCGACAACGGCGCTCGGGAGATTTCGCCCTTCGTATTCGTTTATGGAATGTTACGGGAGCGAGCGCTATTCCCTCCAGATTCATCGATTACGCCGCACAGTAACAATAGCTCAATACCGTTACATGATATTACGGACCATGACTCACGCGGAACAAATATCACCTCTATTCTTATATCGAGCAAAAATACTCGCTCGGCGAAGATATACGAGCCAATCGGGATAGACGATAGAAACTTAATCGGATAGCGAAAAATTATTATCCTAAATCTTCGGATACGGGAGCAGTTTTATCACGACGAGATCGCGTTTCGCGTGCCGCAAGAGAGAGAGAGAGAGAGAGAGAAAGAGCGTGCTTTCGCGCTCTTTCTCTGGGCTATTTCTCCCGCCGATGTTTCAGTCTCGGGCGGTAACGCGAGAGGGATATCCTTAAGTGGCGCTAAAAAGACGAGTTTATCGGTGCAGTTGCATGGCGCTCCATTTAGAAACGCGCGACGGCCTCTCTCGGCAGCCTCTTTCGCGGTGAAACGATATGATCTAACCGCCGCGCGACATCAGAAGTGGACGATCGCAAAAACGCCTCGTGAGGGTCCACCGTCGGCCATCCGTTAGACGCGCGGGCCGTTGTAAATTCTCCGTATAAAGATTACGCTGCCGTAGTTACCCGCCTCTATCCGCCGACTTAAGACGCTTTATACGCCCATGAAAATTCCTCGAGCCCGACTTCCCGTCTGTCTCAGCGCGCGGGCGAGTTTAAATCTTGCGCGCCTCGCGCTCTGCTCGCGCGAAAGGCGAAGGGCTGTGCGTCTTTCCCGAGTAACGTCGTAATTCACGTCGAGCCTCGCTTCTGAATTAATATTCACTCATTAAATCGCTTCGGAAACTATGCGTCGTAGTGCATTATTAAGCGTCGTGTCGCGTTTTCAACGTCCGCCCCTCCTCACCCTTCCCCGCGCGCCGCTCCGCGCTCGGTAAAGTATCGATAGCGCGACAAAATCAGCGGTGAAAAAAAAAATGACGCCCCATATCGCCGCCGCGATCTCGCTCGTCGGGGTGCGCCGAAGCGCGTGAAGTGAAAATCCCGTGAAATGACTCCGAATCCATGCGGAGTTGGCAGAGGAAGTTGGAAAAATTGAATCCTTACTGTCGCATTCGAAGGGAGAGAAATTGAGAAGACTGCCGCGCATCGGATGAAGCCCTTGCACCTCCGTCAGCGTCGATTCGCCGCCATTGCCTGCTGCCGGATAGCTTCCTCCTCTCTCTCTCTTTCTCTCTCTCTCTCTCTCTCTCATATCGTTTTCTTTTCCTCATCGCCCGCCATTCTTCTCTCTCTCTCTCTCTCTCTCTCGAGTCTTGAAATATTCGAAACTCCAGGAGGTCACCTGACACCTTTTCGGCGAACGTTATCTTTCTCCCACGTCGCTTTCCGTCGCTTCTCTCGCCCGCTTCTTAATCGCTTCTTCGCCCCGTCCCTCCCGCCCGCGTTTTTCGCTCTTCGCCACCCTCCATAATTTATTTACGATTTCCGCGTATTATGTTTCCCGTTCTGTACGGTGTTTCGTCCATTATTCAATCGTACTTTCCTTCTCTAGCAACACCTGCTCTCGCCCTCTCCGCGGCGTCGTTTCTTCGACCGAGTAGCTCCCCTCGGTTACGCATTTTTGCGTTTCCCTTCAAAATTTCGTCCCGAGCTTTCACGGACTGTTTTCCACCTCTCAATTCGGCGGTAATTACATCGATAAGGCACGTTCCCACGAATCCTGTGGGAATATTTTCCTGCAGGACTTCGGAACGTGCTTTCTTTGAGCGGTCGGACAAAGGATAAAGGGATAGGAAGCAAGGAGGAAGCCCAGCGCTGGATGCTATTAAATGTGCACGCTCCACCGACGCACGGGAGATCATACGCGACTTCTCAGCAACCTTTCACCTAAGATACTTGTCGTCTTAATAATAACGTATCATAAAATTTACAAAAAGTTCATGGCAGATGTACGAAACGGTCGACTGAAAGAAAGGTAAGGTAATATCCCAACTAGTGTGACAAAGTAACCTCATCTTGAAAATAAATTAATAAATTATTATAATAATACACGTGTTGAGTACATAACGTTTGTTTTGTTCGAAAGTTTAAACATTTGCTATACTAATAGACTTAGATCTTTTAATTTGTGATAAAATTTTAATCAATTTATATTATGTTTTCAACAGTGACGGAAGTAGCATTTAATAACATGTAACCTTGATTCTGCCCCAATTTGCGTGACATATATATATCTATATTATTGACGAGTGATGAACATATAGACAGTTCTATTACAGACAGACACAAATCATTATTCTAATGTCACGAATTGATACAGAATCATGAAAAACGTCTCTATTACAGATTTAAACATGATAGTTTATAAACTAAAACTCATATTTTCTTATTTATTAAAGTTTTTATTAAAGTTTGTAAACTAAAACTCATATTTTCTTATTTATTAAAGTATTTATTAAAGTTTGCATGAGTAAATTATAATCTTAATACTATTCCTTAACTTTATAAAGAGTAAAATTTATAAATCACATTTTTTCTTTAGAAATAAAAACATAATTTTACACCATATTTATTTAGGTAATCAGTAATAGAGATAAATAAATATTCAAATACCGTGTATAGTGACATACACGTATTAACTACCAAAAACATGTAACTTGTTACTTTCCGCTTGCAAAATATTCCTTGATGTTTTTCGATTTTGACAGCACGATTTCAATCGCTTGAGGTTAAAAATAGCTACAAAAATACCAAAAAAATATGCCTTATATTAACGACTAACTTCTAAGATGTCGGCGAGTAATAACTATTTCACTATTAGAAGCACGCATATAATTATGATATTCCAGTATTCAAAATGGCTTTTAATTTCATTCGAAATTTGTTACAGTAAATAATATATAAAATTTAGAGTAAAAACTTTTGGATAAATATAAAACTATATTATTCGACTTATTAAGAAGGACAAATGCGGTCGTCATAAATTTGGGACACTGTCACTAATTGTCACTAATTGGGACATTCACTGTGTGAATATGCTGATGTGTGAAAATGCTGATTTCCCCACTTACCTCTCCGACAATTCAATTATCGCGTACAGTTAATAAACACAAATATCTGAAACTTGCTGCGTTCCTCTGCCGCAATACGCGCAATGAAGATATTTTACACAAATCGACGGGTCATTGCATTCGCGCCGAGTGCCATCTCTCTCTTCCGCGTAAAAGGATATTCCATTTTCTCGCGGAGAAATATTCACGTCGGAGAATTCGAGAAGAGTCACACCTCGCAGAGGGACGCGCGAGAAACGGAGGAGGAGGGATGAGTCGCGGCGCGATTGCGACGGCGTTGAATCGACGCGTCGGTAAAACACGGAACTCGCTTGACCCGGGTTCAAGTCGTGTCGCGGTCGTAGTACACGCCATAAATCAGCCTATCGATTCCCCGGCGCCCCCGCATCCGTGAGAAACTTTTACCTTCGTCGCGGCCACACCGGCGGAAAAATGGAGGCTCCCGGGCGCATGGGAGATTAGAAAGAGCGTAGGGGGCAAGAGCGGCAAGAAGTTTCGTCCACGGTTGGGATGCGAAAGACGCGACGGCACGGATATTCTTCTCCTCTCTTATCGAATCTGCTTGCAGGTACTGTGTTTTCCGCGGAAAAATAGATTACGGTCGGATCGAGCTCGAGTCGTAAAGAGAGAAAAAAGGGGGATGAGGAAGAGAGAGAACGAGCCGTCGTTTACTCGCGAGCGCAAAAATCGGCTTGGCTCTTTGCTTCTTATCTTGACGTTCCCTTCGAAAGGGAGAGCATGCTTGATAAATGGATCAAACCGGCGTGCACCGATACGCGCATCCTTCGGAGAATAAATGCAATTTTATCACAAACATTGTACGATGAGAATCGACGCGTGATTCGAATGCGCAAACGGGTAGCATTAAAGACTCTGCATACGTCGCAACGCGCAGGATGCGGTTCGCAAACTGTAGCAGGAAAGTGACAGCTATCCTTTGCTTTTCTCTGATTAATCCACGCAGTTGCCGTATATGCGGAAAGTTGGAATTGACTTAATTCTCCGTGTAGGAATTTAAAACGGGGACTGAAAAGGCCGTACACAATTTTTCCCCACTTCTGTCTAAGCCCTGTACAGAAATGTAACACTTGTACAATTTAGGGCCAGTTTTGCAAATCTATTTAACTAGGCCCTGACTGGGCCCTGTTAGCTATAAACCTTGTTAGATAAATCTGCGTTAGTGTCTATTCAGGGCCTTTTAAGGAAATTCCATTTAGAAATTCTAAACTATATTTAGGCCCAACATAGGCAGACCTATTTTGGGACATGTCTATCTAGGGCCATTACAGATTTGGGACACGCCCTGATTAATTTCTACCCGAGTCGTTGCGCATGACCAATTTGCGAATGCGCGCCCTTTAGTACGGCGGAACGTCATTTTGCATACATGTCTGCGAATTGCGTTTTGTATGTTGCGACTTATGTAGAAGGGTTTTTAAAATACTGTCCGGCCTATCGTTTTACGTTTGCTCGGGACCCAATCAAATCCGCAAGCGTCGATCCTCTCTTCGTTTGAATTCGAAGGCCGATGATTTACGATGAGAAAACGGTTAGCCCCGCGGTGCCCGATGCCTTAATCTCTCTCATTCAGGTTCCGCATAATTAGAATTTTTTCGTGATTTCGGGCCGGCTTATCGGATGAGCGCGCCACTCGTAGTGAACATCCTGGTAAGCGAAATTAGTATAATAAACTTTCGCGGAAGTGTTATTAAGGAGATAAGATTTTTATTGCGGGTTAATTGAGAAGTTGAGCGTAATAAAGATAAACGTACGGTGACTGGGTTATTACCGCAAATGAGGCACCGGCTACACTAAATATGAAATACGCAGGACATCTCACGATTATCGCGGCTTCTTTCTCATCTACTGATGCTCGGTACGCTATTCGACATCGTTTATGTCTCAGCGGAAACTTCGTTGCCGGTCGATTTTCGTCGCGCTTGATTTTCGAACGTTATCACATTTTCGCAAACCAACGTAAAATTTCATCAGAATAAAGCCTAGTTAAAAGTAATGAAGATTTTTTACACTTATTAGGAACATATTTAGTATTACAAATATATGCATGTCATGAAGTCGGTCAGTTACTCGATTCCCAAGAAATCATTTTAACCACGTGAATTTTTTCCGACTGCACACAGGAAAAAGTTTTATTTTCAAAATAGTCCATTGAAATTTTGTATTACGTTAACAATGGACAATGTGTTTAAAAGTATACAAGTATAATGTATTAACATATGTTGCCAAGGTGAATGTGTTAATTTAACATTACATTTGTGTACTTTTTAACACATATTTGTATACTTTCTAACACATCCCGCGTGTTGAAGTAACAATTTCAATTACGTTTTCAACACAAAATTTGTCACTATGTATATTTTCAGGGGTACTTTTTTGGGAAACAGCGTCGGAAAATTTTCGCAAGTTGCTCCGGAAGATGATTACTCACGTTGACTTGTATACCAGACACGTTGAAACTGCTGGCGGGTGGCACGCGATCGAACACATAGCGATAAAATTCACTATTATCGTGAAACCATTGTATTGTGTACAGTGATGAGCCTTCCAGGTCGTAGTGGCACGACAACGTCACGGTATCGCCCGATCTCACCGTGGCCGGTACGTTTATCGTCAGATCTTTCAAACCTGTTGCACCTGCGAACAATAAAAAAGCGAGTCGCTTTGAAGGATATTCGATTGAGCGGTTCACGTCTGCTAACGCGTACGCGCGCATAATAACGCGTCCCCTGCCGTGTGTTTTCGGGCGCGTGTGCCGAAGGTACATTTATCGCCGTCGGATCATAATGTACGACAATCGCGATTACAAGCTCGCACGAAACGCAAACGGAATATAATAACTCGCGCGCGTTATTTTCGCGGAGAGTTATGCGACGGCCGACAGTCGTGGACGCGCTCGATTGCGGCGCGCTATCCGCGAATCTGTGTTTTAGGATTAAGCGTCTGTCGGTCAGCGTGCGACGGCCATAAATAATTCCGATAAATTTTTCAGCCCGCGGGCCGAAAGTTCGCGGCGTGATTTAATGTTCCATCGATCAGTGATTGCGAACTCGTTTCGCCGACCTTTTATAAACGACGGCCGAGTGTCAGGCTGCAGAAGTTCCGCCGTGCCTCACTCAACTTTCAACGTCTTTCCGGAGGAGACGTAACGCCCAGCCCGGAATGAAATTTTTTATAAGTGTTACTCCCGGGCTACTCTTCTCTTTTTTTTTTTTACGAACTTTATTCTATTTTACCGCCAGCCGGTGCGCGCGTGTTATTTTTACGAGCACTCCGCTGTTGAGACGCAAATCACCGCGACATGATTAAACGTATTAATTAGCTGTAGGGATCATTAATTAATATTTCTATTTATCGTTCGATACTTTATGAAAAAGATCGCCGGCATAATTGATAACGATGAATGGTGTACAACAAACATCGATTGTTGTGTTTCGAGGAAATTAGCTGAAAATTTAATCCTGCCAATGATCCTCTTATGTAGAACGGCGAATCTATTATTATACATAATTAACTCAATTAGCATAATTGATTATGTCTCATCAACATTTACCGAAGCATTTAATCAAACGTTCCCGCGGCGTGCGATACACGCGATTTTCAATCTAAGTTTTACCAATACCCGGGGAATTGTACCAACGTTTGCGGGCCGACGAAATAACGCGCGGACAACGCGCTGTTGCTCCGCTCGTTGCGCGTTCTCGCGAGGATTATACGTTCTCTAGCAACGGCAGTTGATAAGGATAATATGCGCCTATGAGCGATAAAAGTTGGGAAAGGAGGCAAAGTAGGTAAGTAGGTAGGAAGGAAGGAAGGAAACACGCTCACAGCGCGACGAGTCTCGCGGGATCTCGCGGTGCCTGTTGATTTTACCGATCCATTTTTCTCGAATCTCACGCGCGCGTTCGTTTACATGAGACAGGGAGGGTGAAACGGGAGGCGGACGAGTTCGCGCAAATGATCATCGGGATCGGAAAACGCTTTACTCGGTGCGCTTAGAACAGTCGCGGCTCCTCGCGAGCGTTTCACATCGAGATCCGGTCTCGGCGTCGAAATACGAGAGGCGACGCGCGGGTGTCTTCCAGTAATTTCCACTCGAAACGTTTGCGGTCATCGGCTCTTGTCGCCGTCTTTCCGTCGACTTCCGAGACGCTTTGGAATCCCATTTCACTGGAGCGATCAAAGGGAGGAAGGCAGTCTCTATTACCATCCGCATGAGTGGAAGGAGGAGAGACAGATAGAGAGAAAGAGAGACAATCGCGATCCTCCTCCGTCTCGTCCTTTTAGTCTTCTTCTCGAGGAGCCAATCACGGAAGGACGGGAGGAGGGCGAGCCGCGCGAGCGAAATTAATTCAACGTACGTGTCAGGGCTGAATGCTTTCGATAAACTTTGTCGAGCGTGCGCGCGCGCTCGCCTCGTAGAGAGAGGTGCGCGCACGTTCGCGGTACAACTTATTCTGGGCGAAAACTTTATTCGCGCCGTCGCGTCGAGCTCTAAGCGCACAAGTGGAACTCCGTAGAGGCCCCGCAATTCCGTAATTAGTATAATAAATAATCTAGTGGGAGACTGGGAGAGAGAAAGAGAGCAAGAAGAGAAGACAGAGAGAGAGAGAGAGAGAGAGAGATGAAGCAACGTTTACATAATGTAGGTGCATCGCGCACGTAACGTAACGCTACTCCTTGAAATGGGATAAAAATGCATGAAACGTGTGCCGCATGGAACGCTCCTCCCGCGAAACGTGGCAACATAATGTTTCCCCGCGCGGTACACCCCTCGCAAAGTTTAATGGATTCATAATGCTGCTCATCGCGGAGCCGAGCTATCGGCGATGGCGGAGAAGAAAAGGAAAAGCCATGTTTCATAATTGAATTAGCGATGCGACGATTTCTGATCGATAGTCGCGTGCGGATCTTTAAGCCTACCGAATCCACCATTCAATCCTTTACGCCTGATGAATTTTACGTCGGAGTCCGATGTCGGGACACAGCCGACGGTTCATTGAGGGAATTTGTTTTTCGAAAACGAGCCCTCCTCATTGGACCATCGACTGCGTTCCGGTGTCAACGCGTAAAGAAAGAAGTGGCTTCCACAGCGGAAATTACCTCCCGCAGTGAAGATTAGCAAAAGTTAACAGGCAAAAATCAACTGTCCCTATAACAAATCTGAAATTTCACTAATTTTCTTTGTGCCTGTATCTAGTTTTTAGTTTCCATAATTAAGAACTGCCCGAGTCGAAATTTTAAATTCTACGTTAAGACTTCAAGTGGAGAGAATGGCGGTGACTTCTCCATTTGTAGCACCAAAGGAGCGCGATAGAAGACCTTTGAACACTTAATGTAGAACTAAATTAGACTTAAAGTAGGACTAAAATCTCGACTCGGATGGGTCCGGTAAAAAATTTCAGTTATGTTATATAGAGAGCTGATTCCTTTTTCCGTGCTTTTTACAGCGACGCACGGCGTATTATATAATAGGCCTTACCACGCCAGCACATCGCGCTCCTCGACGGCGGACGCAACTCAGCGCGAGTAGTTACTCAGCCGAGTCGTAAAATCGCTCGATTTTTGCGGTACGTAGCGGCGCCTCGTTACGGCCCGGGTTTATATCATTTTCATCGTCGCCTCGCGCAGCGGCCGATCGTCTCTTAAACAACGCCCAACACTTTTGAGCCCCCCCCCCCTCCCTCTTCTTCCTCCTCCTCATACTTCTTCACTCGCGTGCGGAATTGCACGGCGGGGCAAATAGAAGTGCATCTACGCGAAATAGCCGGGCATAACGTGCAAACGGCGGAACGTCACGATTAGACATTTCGCAGACGGCGCACGATACCCGCGAGACATTTAGTTGCTCAAGGAGATATTCGGCGGACCGTGCCGCTGTTTGTTCTCGCCATTAAGCCCGGGAAATATGGGTTAACTGCTACCAAGGGCCACGGATCGGTGATTAAGGGCAATAAATAATTCCAAGACGCGCGGGGGCCGCTCTAAGCTGCGTGCAGATAACGCCGACGCCCGTGCTCGATCCCCGCGCTTTTTGAGAGAGCGCAACGGGGCGGCGTAATTTCGCGAAAGAGCGCGAGATAACATGCAAATGCTACGACGTCTCGTTTTGCAGAATGCCCTCGATACTGTAACAATTTATTGTCCATAAAGATGCGCGCGTATAAATACACGTAAAAGAGACATCCCTTGCCCTCTCCCCTTCCTCATTTCTTTTTTTGTCCCTCTCTCTCTCTCTCTCTCTCTCTCTCTCTCTCTCTCTCCCCCCCTCCCTTCCTCTCTCTCTCTCTCTCTTTCTATTTCTTTCTAGTCTCTCTAGCACGGGGAGATAAATGTAGGTGCGTTTGTATACGCCGTCAAAGTCGACTCGCTGTAAAAAAGAATAGAGAGAGAAAGAAATCGAGTTACTTTTTCTATTCCATTACTTCGACCGTGTGTGTGTCGCAGTCGATACAAATAAATAACAATTACAAAAGATATCGAACGCGGCATAGCGCACGGTACCAAACCGTTTTATGCTTCCGCAAAATTGATTGTCATCGCGTGATGCGTGCAAAATTCAAACTTCATTCCGTGCGGTTGAATGACCAACGACCGTGCGCGCAATTTGAAGACCGGCGCGATTTAAAATATATTTCGACATCGAATACTAATTAACTGTCCGCTATAAAATTATACACCGGCGCGACGATTTATCAATTATTATAATTATGAAAAATTAACTCGCTTTATCGCGGACGTGTCACGAAACAGAGAGAAGGGGACTCGGAGGCGTGGCAAACGAGGCCAAAGTGACAAAGAACAGTCGACGTGCCGGACGTGCGAACGATCGAAACAAATTCACCAGCGACGCTGCCTAAGGTAGTTGTATCGCAGAATGCCGGGTTTTCATTGGCGATATTAAAGGATCCCTACATAAGCTTATTATTTATCGAAAAGACGTACTTTCCTGTGACTTCATTTAACTATCTAGATAATAAATGTGCATTTTTAGCGCGAAATTATGACTGATAAACACACACTGTGTCAAACACGGAAATATTATTTATTTTTTATTTTTCTTATTAATACTTCATACATGTGTGTGTATATATATATATACACACATATATTCTATTAGCTCTAATATATATATATATATATATATATATAATAATATACATATAATATTTACATACTATTTTCTATTATGTGTGCGCTTCTATTAACTCTAATATATATATATAATATATAATATATAATATATAATATATATATATATTAGAGCTAATATATAATATATAATATATAATATATATATATATTAGAGCTAATAGAAGCGCACACATAATAGAAAATAGTATGTAAATATTTAAATAAGTATATACGTACATATATCGTGAGTATTACTACAAATTATAAATATCTTATGACTGTATTTCCTAAAAAGTATGGTCAACAATTTTCTGAAATTTGTGTGTAATGTCCCTACATTAATCCTTAATGATACAATAATAATTTTTCATAAAAATTCCAAATAATTTAGAAGAAATTAAAAACAAAACATCAACCTCGAAGAATATGAAAAGTCTCAACTTTAATTGCAAATATCTCAGTTTCCGAACGAGTCAGTCGTTTTATAATTTTACAGGCATGTA